TGGGAGAGGCTAGGGGTCAGCCTGGGTCTACATGGGGGAAGCTCCCTAACAATCCCTCCTCGCGCCCCCCCCCCCCCAAAAAAAAACCTTGTTCCATACTTTTCCCACCCGTACCCAACAACCCTCCAAGTTCAGCTCCTTCCCAGCAATTTACTTCCCTCTCCCTCAGCTCCTCCGTTACCCCTGACTCCCCCAAGCCTTTGCACTGCTTCTGAGGGGTGTGGGAAATATGGTTCTGTATTGTAGTTTAAATGAATTATTACTCAGAGTTCTGTATTAATATGCCTAGTAAGGAATCTATTTGTCAAAAAAACATTTCCTGAATCTTTTTTGTTGTCTGTATTGTTACAGACATACTTGCTGACAGGTATTTTGAAATAAATGATCAAAAATAATTGAAATTGGTGTGATTATATTGTGTTATTTTGACAAATAAAATATGCAGAATTTTGCAGAATTTTAAAATATTGTGCACAGAATTTTTATTTTTTTGTTGCAAAATTTTAATTTTTTTTGGCACAGAATTCCACCAGGAGTAGAATACCTATAGCAGAGTGGTGGTAAACTTGTTAAAGGGGAGGGATTGGAGTGAACTGAACTGTAATAGATCTGTAGTTTTTCCACAAGATGACTGCTTGGTAAGGAAATAAATGTTGTTGTAATTAACCATGCCGCTGCAGGCTTATAGAACACACAGCTAATCCACTTCCTGTTAGTGTGGCAATAAAAAGTTGTCCAAGCCCCATTGTGTACGGAGAGAATTGATAGTCACTCCATCAGGGTCACTGCTGTGAATGGCCATATGATTAAGAAGACTCCTCTTAAAGATCTGTCTGCAGTAAACAGCTTTGCAATCAAACTTGCCCCAACTTTCCTAGAAAGTCTGGGTCACGCTCTGCATTTGTTTATGGCTTTGGCAACTCCATTAAAGATAGTGAGGTTGTGTGGCATGAGAGGACAAACCAGGGTAATAGCAGTGCCAAATAAAAACCATGCACCAATGCCTCCTGAACCTTTCCCATCACAGAAGTGAAGTATATCAGTTAGAGGGACAGCTGCAGCACCTCCACCTACACTTCTGCCAGCCACTCTGTGCGCAGCCCAGAGGGTGAGAGAAGGAGGGGGCAGCTCTGTGTGGGAAGGGGGTTAAAAAGGAGAAGGTCTGTGCACTGGAGGAGAGAGCGCAGCAATGAAATAAATATTTGCTCTTTCACTTTTCTCAGGTGTATGATGATCGGTACAGAATGCAGAGTCGGCCTTTAGGAATATGCCTGATTATAGATTGCATTGGCAATGACACAGGTGGGTCTCAAGAACATAAAATTCTTTGTAGCTCTACTCTCCAGCATGTACAATATTTTTAATGTAAGGATTATGATTGGCCAGACTACATTCTGAGTGTGCAAGTGTGTGTTGCAAAACAAAGATCGGGTCTCATTGGTCATCTGGTCTCAATGTTACTATTTGATACTATTATTTGGTGGTTGTTTGGTTTTACAGTAGTGCCTAAAGGGCCAGGCTGAGATTAGCAGCACATTGCCCTCAGTGCTGTAAATACTCATAGTAAGAGAGAGTCTCTGCCCCAAAGTTCTTATGCTGTAAATCAGGGGTGGGCAAACTTTTTGGCCTGAGGGCCACATTGGGGTTCCAAAACTGTATGGAGGGCCAAGTAGGGAAGGCTGTGCCTCTGCAAACAGCCTGGTCCCCGCCCCCTATCCACTCCCGCCCCTGACTGTCCCCCCTCAGAACCCCCGACCTATCCAACCCCCTGTGCTCCTTGTCCCCTGACTGCCCTGACCCCTATCCACACCCCCGCCCCCTGACAGGCCCCCTGGCACTCCCACACCTATCCAACTGTCCCCTGACCACTCCCCGGGGCCCCCTGCCCCTTATCCAACTCCCCCTCCTGCTCCCCACCCCCTTATGCTGCTCAGAGTACCAGAACTGGCAGCCACGTTGCCCAGCCAGAGCAGGTCTCGCCGCCGCGCAGTCTAGAGCACTGGGGCAGGCCGGCGGTTCTCACAGCCCTGCTGCCCAGCAGGAGCTCGGAGCCCCACTGCCCAGAGCGCTGGTGGCATGGCGAGCTGAGGCTGCAGGGAAGGGGGGACAGCAGGGGAGGGGCCAGGGGTTAGCCTCCCCGGCTGGGAGCTCAAGGTCTGGGCAGGACGGTCCCGCGGGCCGGATGTGGCCCATGGACTGTAGTTTGCCGATCTCTGCTGTAAATAGACCAAGGACAGATGAAGAAGAAGAAAGAGGGTGGAGGCTCTGGGAGGGAAAGTGACTTGCTCAAGGTCACACAGCAGGGGCAGGAGTAGAATGTAAGTTTCTTACTGCTTTTAAAAATAAAAATAAGAGGGCAATAGTGCACTTCAAACAGTGTGGTTACATTGGACAACGTGTCTTGAGTAGCTGAAGGCACAGGACCTTTTGTTCATAAGACACCTGGGTTTCTGTTATATCTTAGCTTAGCAGAAGCTGATATCACAGCTTTAGAGGGGAAGGAACTGGTTTCTTTAATTTCCTCTTGACATTTTTGGAAGCATTTACAGCTAAAGTTCAATTCCGTAAATATCCAGGTTAAAATTTGAATTTTTCAGACAGTCTTTTGAAAAGCTCCATGTGACAGACTGTTGCGTAAGCAAAAATCTCTCTAGGGCTTGAACCATGCCAGTGGAATACACAACTGGCTAAAAATAGAAAGAGAGATCGTGCCACACACTCAAAGAAACTGCGGAACCACCTGATCAACATCCTAGACAGCAAACAGGGAAAGATTAAGAGTGAGCTCTCAGAACTGGATACACTCATAAAAAGCCAACCCTCCACACAAACTTCCTCATGGCTGGACTTTACAAAAACTAGACAAGCCATTTACAACACACACTTTGCTTCTCTCCAATGAAAAAGGACACTAAACTATCTAAACTACTACATGCCACAAGGGGCCACAACAATGGTTCCCTTAACTCACCCAACAATATTGTTAATCTATCCAGCTATACTCTTAGCCCGGCAGAAGAGTCTAGCCTATCTCGGGGCCTCTCCTTCTGCCCCTCCACCCCCACAAACATGATACAGTTCTGCGGTGACCTGGAATCCTACTTTTGACGTCTCCGACTCAAGGAATATTTCCAACACATCTCTGAACAGCACACTAATCCACAGAAACCTTCCTACCAGCACTACAAAAAAAGGGATTCTGTGTGGACTCCTCCGAAACAGCAGACCGGCCTTCTACATAGGGTGCTTATGCCAATGTGCACGGGCTGCAATTGTGGAAAAGCAGCATCACTTGCCTCATAACCTCAGCCGTGCAGAACACAACGCCATCCGCAGCCTCAGGAACAACTCTGACATCATAATAAAAAAGGCTGACAAAGGAGGTGCTGTCGTCATCGTGAATAGGTCGGAATATGAATGAGAGGCTGCTAGGCAGCTCTCTAACACCATATTCTACAGGCCATTACCCTCTGATCCCACTGAAGGTTCCCAAAAGAAACTAAACCATTTGCTCAAGAAACTCCCTGAAAAAGCACAGGAACAAATCTGCACAGACATACCCCTAGAACCCCGACCAGGGGTACTCTATCTGTTACCCAAGATCCATAAACCTGGAAATTCTGGATGCCCTATCATATCAGGCTTTGGCACCCTGACAGCAGGATTGTCTGGCTATGTAGACTCTCTCCTCAGGCTTTTAAAGGGTTTGGGACTCAGCTGTACCTGTGCCAGGTTTAGCCCACCTCCCCAGGTGGAGGGACTAGTCAGGAAAGGGCCAGTGAGGAGGCCTCGGCTGAGTAGCTCTCCAGAGCTCTTAGAGAGGAGGCCTGGGAGAACAGTTTGCAGTGAGCAGGAGCCAGTGAGGAAGGGCACATGGGAGGGAATCCCACTAGGAGGAAAACTTCAGCAGGGATAGGACTGAGAACCCTGCAGTAAAGGTATCAGCTGCTAGAAAAGGAGGGGAGAAGGTCTGTATGGCATGAGCTTGGTTCAAGCCAGACTCCCCAGAGAGGAGGGTTATTGGGCAAACACCCATGTGTGAGTCTGGGTAACTGGACAAGAAAGGGAAACAGAGTTAGGGCAGGGCCTGAAGTGAGATCATGTATGTCCCTACTCCGGTTAAATATCCGGGCAGATGGTTGCTCCGGTAGAGAGAGAGTTATTCAACCCACCATCTCCTCCCCCCCCCCAAAATAGTTGACTCTGCCCAAAATGGGGAACCAGAGGTGACGGAGCCCTCCCCACAACCGACAGCCCCACTGACTCCTGCTGCCAAAACCTCTGGCTCTCATTAAGAATAAATCTGCTTGCTTAGAAAGGACTGTGTGGTAATTTGTAACTGGGGGTGATACATTGGTCATAGCCTCTGGAGAGAAAGCAAAGTGCAGATGCTGACCTTTTAGGCAATCTGGCTTGCTGGGGATATCACAGTGTAGGCTGACAACTGTGCAGCTTCAAGGTAGAGTGAGACAGGTCTCTGCCCAGAAAGGTGATGGCTGAGGATCTGGGAGCCTAAAGCAGGTGCCCTTGGTGAAGGAATACAGATGCACTTATCCTGAAACTGTGACACTTCCCTCATATTCAAGATATTATGTAGACATCGTCATGTGTGTAATCCATTGTGACACTGATGTCACTGCAAAGAGTCTAGATTTTGGCTGAATTTCTTTAGTGAATCAAACCTCTTGTTTTTCCAGTAGTGAAACACACAATATTAAGAGCCTTTCAACATGGCTGATATTCACTGAGCCGTGAAATACATTCACTTTAACAAATTCCTTCTTCTTTTTCCAGATATATTGGAGGACACCTTTAAAGTTCTAGGCTTTGAAGTTCACTGTTACCGGTATTTAAGTGTGGAAGCCATGAACCAAACATTCCATGAAGTTGCAAGACTGCAAAAGCACAGAGACCTTGACAGCTTTATTTGCATATTGGTCAGCCGGGGGAGCCCTCAGAGCATCTTCTGCACAGACCAGACCTTTCCTGGGTACCCCTTGGATCAGGTGAAGAAGTTTTTTACTGGAGACTCATGCCGTGAACTCCTAGGGAAACCTAAGCTCTTCTTTATTCAAAGCTACATTGTGCCAGCAGATCAGCAAGAACCCACCAGTCTGCTGGAAGTGGATGGGAATGAACAAAAAATCACTGCCAATACCAGAAGACCTAGGAACTGTAGTATTCCCCCAGTAGCAGACATCTTTTGGAGTCAATGCAAGGTGGATGTGTCTGTACTAGAAAGGTCACCCAGCTCATCTTCCCATTATCTACGCAGTCTGGCTGAGCTCCTGTGCAATCCTCATAAAAGGTAAAAAAACAAACCAAAAAAACCTTCTTCATTCAACTTATTGCCCCATAGCAAAAGAACTGAGGTTTCATCCTGCTTCGTACTGCAGAGCACCTTGGCGATGTGAGAGACCATAGAGGAAGATGGTGCCCAGGCCTGGAGGGGTGGTCCAGGTGGGCCCAGACCTACAGGGTGCAGGCCAGGTACTCTAGAGATGGGGTGGAGCTGGAGTGGAGTGTAAGGGTATGCCAGCGCTGGGGGTTGCAAGGTTACTTCCAGCATGGGAGGAGAAAGTCCAGTCCTGGAGAAGAGATGTGAACAGTCAGGATTCCCATGCTGTTCTCCCACCCCCAACACACATCCCTCATAGGCTATTGTCCAAACTGAGAGTTGTCTTTAAATAACAGAGTCCTTAAGCAGGACTGTACTTAGAACTATAAACATTTAGCCAGAGCTGCTTGCTGGTGGGTTTTTTTTTTTTTCATTTCCCTGCGGGACCTCTTGACCTTCCCTCTAGTTCAATCTTCCTCAGAAAGCCATTTGCCCATTCATTACCCTGAGTTGAAGCTAAGCCAAAGAGGTCCCATCTGGTCTGGCAGCCAAGTTCAGTGTGAGTCAGCAGAACAGCTCTGCACCTCCCCACAGGGTCCTAAAACTTGGTCACAAGATGTCAGGAATGGAAGGAGTCCAGTCCTCCATGACATGCTAGTAAGTCTGGAGTATCAGAGATCCTGTCTGATAAATGCATGTGTAACCTCAAGTTTGTGAGCTCTATCTCTGGTATTAAAGACTGAGATTGGAAACATTCCTCTCGCTGAGCCTGGAGCTGCTTGTCCTCTGGTGTCTTTTTCAGTTAAAAATGATGATCTCCTCCATTCAGTTGTGAGAATTTTGTTTCTCTCTTTGCAGAAAGCTCCCCCTACTGGATATCCATATTGAGCTGAACAGCAGAGTGTATGATTGCAACAGGACCTCAGAGCCACAGCACCAATACTCACTCCTGCTACAACACACCTTGAGGAAAAAACTCTTTCTTTTTCCCAGTTAAAAGCTAATGGAAATTGCCTGGGACACGATGTTAAGATGGGGATATCCACGTGGGCTTTTTCTTCAATTGTCATTGTTCCATGCATTTTTGAAGGACCTGTTGCTAGAGTATCTGAGTAGTTAGAAACGTTTTGGATGTTGAGGCATCACATGTTTCCAGTTTTAAACTTTAGGCAGAAGCTACTAGGATAAGAAAGACAGCTAATCCATAGCTCTGCAGCAGATCTTATAACCCAACCAAGCAGAAGGACACTGTTGAAAGGGTTCTATACTACAGATTTATTGTATTTCGTTATGTTTTGATTTTTGAAACATACCCATTAGCAATGCCCATTCCATGCTCCAGTATTTAAACCAACACAAGAATCAGCTAAATTGGTAAGACTACCACCCCCATGTATAATTATAATTCATTCCCAGACCATAATTAGGCAGGAGCTCATTCCAGAGTCCAGGGGCTGTTGGAGAGAATGCCCTCCTGGCAGCTCCATCTCTTTTGTAACGAAGGAACTGTGGCTGGAATGCTTCTCCTGATTGTGGCAGAACGGAATGAGAGGAGAGGCCATTTTAAAGGTAATCTGGACCCAAACCATCCAAGGCTTTAAAGGTCGAAACTAACACCCTGGTTGTACCCAGAAGCCCACAAGTAGTTAGTACTGCTCACAGAGCACTGGTGTTATATGCTCCCACTTAACAGACAGGCTCTCACATTCTGAACTAACTTCAGCTTCCCAATGGTCCCAAGATGTAGTCCTACCTGAAATGCTTTACAGTAATCTAATCTCTCAGTGACAAAAGCCTAGGTAAGGGTAGCTAGGCCTGCCTCTGAAATAAGAGATCACACTTGCCACACCGGGCACAGATGGATAAATGTGCTCTTTGCCACAGCTGACCCCTGAGTATCGAGCAGCAGCCCAGGATCTGATGAGACTGCTAAACCGTGAATCTGGCTAGCCAATAACAGCCACCTCCCACCAAGCAGAGGAGTTTGTGTAGCTAGCCCAGTTCCTAGGGCTGCTTGCTCCCCCCTTCTAATGATATTTCAGTCCCATCTAGATTGAGCCTCAGCCAGCTAGACTTAGCGCATGCTCCAGTTTCAGGCAGACACCAAGTCACCCATTCCACTGCACCTTCAGACTCAGTCATAAGGGCAATGAACAACTAGGTATTATCCACGTGCTATAGACACTGCAACCTCTTCACACGCACAAGGTTCAGTAGTTCTGTGCCACTGCATTTATACAAGACAAAAGACCTCTGCTCAGTAATTTTATTTTTCTTAATTACCTTCTCCATTCCCTACGGGAACAATAAGAGACAAGATTACCATCAATGTAGCAATTCCTTTCCCTTCCACTTTCTACAAGGCCCTGATCCTGTGAGCTCTGAGGCAAGTGAGTGTGCATGTGAGTACTTTTGGTTGATCCTCAGTCTTTTTTCAGGATTGGGGCCTGGATGAGTCAGTTTTAAGCTTATGTCACTGGCCTGACTGTGCTTCCATCCATGGCATGGTCCCATCATCCCCCCCACCCCACCCCACCCCACCCCACCCCTCCACACACACTTCCTCCCCCACACTTAAAGTAAGTAAACATATTTAATATTCTTGGTACATCTTCCTGTCTAGCAAACAAACTAAGGCCTTGTCTACCCTTAAAAGGTTTTCTGGTATACCTGTACCAGCAACCTCTCCTAGAGTAGATGCAGTTGATATCAGTTATACTTGTTGCTGATATAGCTTATACTAGTTCCCCTAGCAAAATAAGCCATGGTTGCAAAAAGGACATTTTTCCTGGTATCCCTGCATCCACACGAGGGCTTTTGCCAACAGCTATGCCAGCAAAATATAACGTCCCTAACTGACATAGCTATGCAGGCAAAACTTTTAAGGGTAGACCAGGCCTAAGAGAGGGCTGCCAGAGGTGAAGTGCTTGATGACTTGGCCAGTAAGTTTGTTTTAGAAGTGACGATTCTGTTTCCCAAACCCACTGCATATTGCCTGCTGTGGGCTTGGCCATGACTTTCAGGAACTCTCCCTTGAAGCCAGACAGCTTTTAATGTTCATCCCAAAAAATCAGCACAAGCCTTGAAACAGCTCCTGCAGTCAAAACAATGGAAGTTTAACAATGAGCCCAGAGTTGGGCAAAATGTGGCTGAGGAAAGAAGACTCAACCAAGAAAATATGGAAATGCTGTAGAGAAAAACACACATATTTATTTATACTAATATATAATTTTTATGTAATAAAAATGTACATATATAATACATATTAATATCTTCATTTTGTATGTGTCCTAATTTTTTTAAAGATTTTAACGATTTTTGTTTGTGTTAATTTCATATTCTTTCTGATGTTATGCATATTCTATGTAGAGGAGGAAATGAGAGATTGTGATAGGCATAAGGGGAGTGGTTGGTAAAAGTTTGGGATGAATGTGACTCATTCCATGTTGTCACAGATCTGATCAGGTGCCCTCTTGCAGCCACCCCAGCACCGAACTACTGTGAGGGGAATCTAAGCCTCTGTGGTTTACAGAGCTTGACGAATCCAGCCACGTCCCCAATCTTGGAGTCCCTAGGTCACTCTTGGGGTGCAGACCTGCTAGCTAGTACCCCATCCTGAGAGCTGGAACCCACTGTCCAGCTGCTTACCCCTTCTGGGTGCACAGGTGACCCCCTCATACTTCTCCATATTTGAACACACCCTCTTCCAGAACTCCATTGAAAGGTGTGACGTTTCTGGTTACAGTTTAACTCTCTCACTGCAGTTGTGAAGCAGGTAACATGCAGAGACTTCCCACAACTAGATGATGCTGTAGGCCAGAATGCTGTGAGGGACAGCTAACAGGTGCTGCGGTTCAAAACGTTGCAGGCAAAGGGAAAGTGAGGCAGAGCCAAATGGTGGTAGTGTGTGTCAGAACTCCCCTAGGAGAAGGGAGATTGGGTAGTGAAGAGTACTGCCAAATTATGATACCCACCAGAGAGGTGTGAACTCTGGAGAAAATGACTCCTGAGCAGGGCACCTTCTGCCCTTTTGAAACTTTCTGGCCCCTGCTGTCTGCTGGCACCCTTGCCAGCTCCACTGCTTGGGGAAGTGGAGGGAGGAAATGTGCCTCTTAATCTGTTTTCAGTGTGGTCAGTGGAGATGTAATTAAACCTGAGAGAGGGTTGGGGGAGAAAGCACACCACCTCTCCCCAGGAAGTGTAAAGAAGGGGACTGGGCTTGGGGAAAGTAGGGAGATTTCACCTTGCCCCACGACAGGGAATGGCAAAAGAGAGTTGTTCAAGTTAAGTGCTCTTCCATTGAAATGTAATCACTCTAGACAATAGATTTTCCTCCTGCCTAAGGGAACTGGTTTGTCAGGAGGGAGGTTGCCTCATCAGCAAAGTCACCTGGAGGAGGACAACTTTGTGTGGAAACTGGTAAGGGTGCTGATAGAGGGGGCTAAAAGGTTTTAAAAGGATAAAAGCTGTTCTCAGGAGCCATTTTCTCCAATCAGTGAGGATCCAGCCTGTTTGAGGCTGCCTGCCTGCCTTCCTGGATACTGATGGTCCCCTAAAGATTCATCAGGGAAGGGTGACCTAGTGAGGGACACTGTGGTTTAAGATGTTTTTTGTTTTGTAAAAGAGCAAATGTGTTAGACTCTGTGCTAAGCATGTGTGAATTCCTTCCCAACTGTTATATGCCCCTGAGAGAGTTCAACTGTAACCCATACATTTAGAGGAGCTCTAGGGGAGGGGACGTTTTAAGTACAAGAGAATCTGACCAGCCACCACGAGTTGCTGTAGAGCAGATTCCGGCTCTCAGGATAGAGTGCTAGACAGCAGATCTATGCCCTAGTAGCATGCCCAAGGATTCTAAGTCCGGGGGAATGGCTGGACTCCATTCAGGCTCCAGCCGATTGAGGCTGGATGCTCAGATTCCCCTTACAGCAGTCCAGTGGGTGGCTGGAAGAGGGCATCTGGCTGGATCTGTGACCTGTATTTTAGAAACCTCTTTGGAGTGTTGTAGGGTAACTGTATACCTCTTTCCCTGTCTAAAACTAGCTTGTCCTTGTTACCAAGTCCCGGTAAACCCAGATCATCTGACATTTGGAAGCGTCTCCCCCATCTGAAACTCTGGTTTTTTCAAATTTCAGCTATGTCACTTGTGCCATTTGGATTGTCTTATTTGTATAAGGCTTGGAATGAGAGGAAAAATTGGTATTTAAACCATTTTTCACAAACTAGACATTTTCTAAAATTGATTTTTGTATGAGTTATAAGATTGATTCTAAAGCCAACTCCTTGTGATCTTATCAGGGCTAGAAAGAAATGCTTCATAGCAATGTTTTGCAGTTCTTCCCATCAGCAGAACACTTTTTAAGAGAGCGCTGTCTTCCAGACTGCTTCTCCTCAGAAACCCCTATTGCTTGGTTTTCAAAATGTTTCTTTTCTGCTTCCTGACCCCCCTCCCCCCCACAAGTACTCCACAGACATAAGCAAATTGGTTCTTAGGTTTGTACCAAGAGAAAGGTCTACGTTGCAGCTGGCCACTAATATATAACAGCATTTTTTTCTTGCCTCTGATGTGTCATGAAGTGATAACCATAGTATAGGACTGACTACAGCAAGTGTAATTTTTATTCTCTGTTTATACCCGATTCATATTCTTTGGCACAGCAGAGAGATTGTAAAGTAAGATTTGGTATCTTAGAACTAGTTCCTGCAGCCACTGGGAGATGAGGCTAGCGGTGTGAGATACGTGTTTGTTATTCCATGTCTATTGAATTAAGATGTATTCCCTGGTTATGCCCATATATGTGGTATAAATAAATATATGTATTGAGTCTGTACACTTAACTTACTTTTTTCCATTTCCCTCATCAGCCTTTCCCTGTGAAAAACATTTTTTCTACCTTACAGACCAAAAAGGGGAGGGTGAAAGCAAGAGCGTAGGCAACAAAATGTAGGGGGGAAACTGCAGAAAGAAAAATATAAAGAATAGTGCAAACAGCAGGAGAAAGTGAGGGGAAGAGAGAATCCTACGGCCATCCTTAGGCATATGCGGCTGTGTAGGGCACCCGAAAATTTGAGGCACCATTCCCCTCGCTGGCCACGGCTGGAATCCTCTTTTCTTGGGCCCCTCCCCTATGCTGGGCCAGCGGGCTTCTCCCCGACCTCAACCCCGCCCCCTCCCTCCCTCACACCTCCAACTCTGCCGCCCCAGCCCTGGGGAGCCCAGAGCAGCACTGATGGTACGGCAGCCCGCCAGCCCAGCCCAGCCCACTGCCGCCTGGAGTGGAGTCCCTCCCTGGACCCTGCCTGCCTGCGCCGCTTGGGGGCTGGGCCAGGGCCAGGACCAGAACCAGGACAGGAAGAGCGAAACTTCCACTAGAGTCACCGGGGGGGGGGTAGGGAGAAGAGGAAGCCGGGCCGAGTGGGGGAGCTCAAAGTGACAGTGCACTCACTGTCTCAAACTTCCCTCACACACACAGACTCTGCCTCTCTCGAGTCACAGTCCCCCAATACAGATTGTGTCTGTCTGTCTGTCTCTCTCTCTCTCTCTCACACACACACACTTGTTATTACTGCTTGATAATTCCTGTCAAAATGCTCGTGGTGAGCCAGGAGTGGCAGGAGGGCCATGGGCTCTGGCAAGATGCAGCCCCCATGTGACATCGCAAAGCCTGCCTGGAGCCACTGCTGCAGCGTCTGCTGCATACGAAGCTCAGTGTGTGTGAGCAATGGGGGTGTTCTGGGGATCCCTGGGTGGGGTGGCTGTGCCCCCTCAACACCTGGGGTCAGCATTGCCAGCTGAGGACCGCCTGCAATAGAGTATAGGGGCACCCAGTGAATAATACTGCATAGGGTCCCATAAATCCTAAAGACGGCCCTTACAGGAGGGAGACTAAAGGGGAGAGATGTCAAGAAGAAATGTGGTGAGGTAGTAGATGAGGGAGAAAAGTTAAAAAAAAAAAAAGAAGAAAAGGAAGGAAATAGTGGAGGTTCTAGAATTTTTCCAAAGAGTGACATTGAACACAGCTAATACCTAGCTCTGCAGCAGAAAGATTGTCAAAATTACTTCACAGTTTTATAGAAACTCTCTCTATACTTTACAAAAATACCTATCTCAAACACCAGATTCAAGAAACTGAGAAGGTCTTTCAATCAGCTCCTTAGGCATTACAAAAAATAAATACATACAAGGCAGCACCTTTCCTTACAAATGCCTGAGCAGGATCACTTTTACAGGAAACTTTCCCAGAATGCTATTCTGATCGCTGTCCCTTTACATTTATCAGATACAAGCAGCTTCTGCAACCCTAAAGGAGCCATTTTTGTAGCTGGCTGATGTTTGCTGTATTTTCCTCTTTCACAGCTGTTCTTGTTAGGCTTTTTCTATCTTCTGTCACTGATTTGCTGATACACCTCCTAATATCAGGGCTCTTTCCAAGAATGCTTTTCTCCGGTGCTGTATTAATTAGTGGATCAGCCATGGATACCGTGTTTTTTTGGTTAACTCTGTTTTGCTGGGTATATGTTAATCTCTATATAGCCTTGTAACGTGTTGTTTCATAGGAAGTTCTAGTTGTATGTATTTTGTAAGTGGGGTTTTTATGTCTACCTTTGAATAAATTAATATTTCAAAATCAATGTCCTTCAACAACTTGATGTGTAGAAAATGAAACATTATAATAGGTAGGAGCAATTTAAATCAAGTGATTTCAATTTATTGGGGATTTTTAATCAATTTGAAAACGTGTACTATTGAAATTTTAGATCATAATTTAGTTTATTGTACATCCTAAATGCTGTTTTTTTTAAATACCACTAATGGTAGAGTATCTTGTTTGAAATTTACCAAACTGCTATAGGCCTAACTACACACACACACACAAAATTAAGGCCCTGATCTTGCAAACAATCAGCTACACACTTTTATTTACATGAGTAGTCCCATTGACATCAATGGAAGTATTCATGTGATTAAAGTTAAACAAGACTTGAAATAGATTAACCAAGTGATTAAACTTTTTTATATATACAAACGGCCAACGCTTTCAAAAACAAGAACCCAAAGTTGGGCTCCTGAACCCATATTTATGTACCCAAGGATGGGATTTTCACAGTCACCTACGCAATTTAGGATCAAAAGTCCGCTTTACTTCAGGCTGCAAACCATGATAGAAGAGCATAGCACGGTCAAAATGTAAATATAACCTGGGCTATTTGCTTATCAATGTTGTGTCTGAATAAGGATATTCATGAGGCCCTGGACTTGTCTTTTTCAGCATGGACGCATTATAAATGAGAAACTTCTTAATAGAAAAATCTCTGTAAAATCTGAAATCCTACTAACAGGAAACTAATTAAAGAAACAAGCACAAAACATTCACTTTGGCAATTCGGGTGACCAGACGTCCTGATTTTATCGGGACTGTCCCGATATTTACTTGTTTGTCCCACGTCCCGACCGATGTGCGGTCAGGACACTGGACAAACAAGCAATTTTGCCCTCCCGGAAGGGCTCTTGCCCCCCCCCCCCCCGACTCTGTCCCCTCCTCCCCCCATTGACTCCCTCCCCAAATCCACACCCTGGCCCCGCCTCTTCCCCACCCATGTGGCATTCCTCCTCCCTCCCAGGCGTGCTGCTGTAATGGCGGGGCAAGCCTGTGAGGGAGAGGGTGGTGGCCGGCTTCCAGTTCCTAGAGCTGGTGAGTACGGGCACTGGGCGAGCAAGGGGGGCTGGCAAGGGGGCTGCTCCCCCAGGAGGTAGACGGGGGGGCTCCGGACCCCACCAGCGGCAGGGGAGAGCGGCTCGGGGCCGCACGAGTGGCCATGTAAAGTTTATCGGCTTGGAGGGGACCCCGGCTGGCTCCCTGTAGGGGAGTAGCATCCCCGCCCCGCGCCAGCATGTCATGCCGGCCGCCGCAGGCCAGGTAAGGAGCCGAGTGGTCCCCTCACCCCTCGTCCTGGCTCCTCAGCTGAACCCCCCGTCACCTTCCGGGGGGAGCAGCCCCCTTGCCAGCCCCCCTTGCCCACCCGGTGCCCGTACTCACCAGCTCCAGGAACTGTAAGCTGGACACCACCCGCTCCCTCCAGGCTTGCGCCGCATTTCAGCTGCAAGCCTGGAGGGAGGAGGAATGCCGCTCAGCTGAGGAGCCAGGACGAGGGGGCAGGGGGGGACTCGGCTCCTTACCTGGCCTGTGGCAGCCGGCGGGACATGCTGGCGTGGGGTGGGGACGCTACCCCCCTACAGGGCAGGGCGAGGAGCCGGCCAGGGTCCCCCCCAGCTGATAAACTTTACGTGCCCACTTGTGCGGCCCTGAGGCGCTCTCCCCCACCGCTGCTGGGGTCCGGAGCCCCGCGCATCTCGCTCCAGCGGCTCCTTCTCCGCGGGGCGGCAGGACGTGCCGCATGTGCCGGGGGGGGGAGGGGCAGCGGCCATGGCGCGGCTGGGGTCTGCTAATTCCCCCGGCACCTGCAAAACGTTTTTTTTTCTCTCTGCCCCCCCCACCCCCCGGCGCATCCTGATATCCCCCATCCACCCCCCGCGTCCCGATATTTCCTGTCAGTGATCTGGTCACCCTATTGGCAATCCAAGACTATAAAATAGGAAGGAAGTAAAGAATTAACAACATACAAATAAAAAATCTGAATTAAATATTAAAACTTGATTTAAATAAATATATTTACATTTTAAACATTGGATTTTCTATTTTTAAAAAAGTATAAATGACTTATCCACCCGGCTATATAGTGACCCCAATTCTTTCCTCGCTTACAGGAATGCAACTTCCATCAGTTTCAGTGAACCAAATCCCTGTCTTCCCCGCATGTATAATTCCCAGTGGATTTACACCAAGGATAGGAGCCTTATGGTGTGCAGAGTGAGGGGTCGCTAGTTCAGACCTACCAGAGCTCCGGCGAGACTCTTTTCTCTGCAACGATGAGGGATACAAACTTTTTTTTTAATGGAATCTAGAAAGTCTCACAAAATTACATGATTCCAGCAGTTGGGGCTTCAAGAAAAAGATCAACTATCAGGAGGCTTATGATCAGATTGTGAGAGTTGGCAAGGCAAATGTCACCTGTATTCAATGTTTTCCTCAGGAACTGAAATTAGGGGAGGGTGTTTGAATTTAGAGGGGGGTGAGGGCCAAGGGGTGAGACCATGCAGGTGAAGGTGAGCTGTCTGGCACAATAGTAAAAACTGAAAAATGTTTCACAACCATTTTATTAGATTTAACTCGTGTTTTAAAATCATCATACAAATTAAAGTTGGCTACTCAAGCCTACTATGAAGCACTACATCAACATCCTTCTTGGTTTATTGTAATTTTTCACAACTCTGTTAATGAATTTCTCAAATGCAGTGCGTTCATCTTTGGTGGCTTCTCATGTGTCTGGTACTTCCAGTCCTTCATGATATGTTCATGATCAGGCAGAAGGCAACTTCTTTCAGAACACAAAATTCTATTCAATGAGGAAAAAGAACGCTCAACTGTAGCTGTTGTGACTCGGAGTAGCAAGAGATGTACATAAGAACAGCCATACTGGGTCAAACCAAACGTCCATCTAGACCAGTATCCTGTCTTCTGACAGTGGCCAATGCCAGGTGCTTCAGAGGGAATGAACAGAACAGGTCATCATCAAGTGATCCATCCTCTGTCACCCATTCCCAGCTTCTTGAAAATAAAGGCTAGGGACACCATCCCTGCCTATCCTGGCTAATAGCCATTGATGGTTCTTATCTAGTTCTTTTTTTAACCCTGTTATAGTCTTGACCTTCACAACATCCTCTGGCAAGGAGTTCCACAGGTTGGCTGTGTGCTGTGCAAAAAAATACTTCCTTTTGTTTGTTTTAAACCTGCTGCCTATTAATTTCATTTGGTGACCCCCAGTTCTTGTGTTATAAGAAGGAGTAAATAATACTTCCTTATTTACTTTCTCCACACCAGTCATGATTTTATAGACCTCTATCATATCTCCCCTTAGTCATCTCTTTTCCAAGCTGAAAAGCCCCAGTCTTATTACTCTCTCCTCATATGGAAGCCATTCCATACCCCTAATCATTTTTGTTGCCCTTTTATGAACCTTTTTGAATTTAATATATCTTTATTATATTCCTACTTCTTTAATCCCAGGAAACAGCACAAAGTTTGGGTCAAACCATTAGTGATGATAAAGAAGAAGTGAAAGTCAAATCTTTATTCGTTTGTCGTATGACATTCCAATCTGTGTTCAAATTCTCTATTCTGTCCTGATCACATGGCAGCCCCATTGCTGGTAGTGTTTCACTCCACTCAACAGTTGATGTTTTATAAGACTGGCATCTGTAAAAGCTATGCAGAGGTTGAGTAGAATCCAGAAGTCACTGTTGTAGATCTGTAAGAATCGAGTCTGTATACTTTTTCAACTGGCTTAACAAACACTTCTTGTCCTCTTCACTTAAGGATTCAGTATAAGAACCTTCATTAGTCAACTTCTGGAGTGAAGTCTTTGCTTCTTCCAGTATGATTGATCCAAGTGTAGCTTTTATTGCTGGACAAAGATCTACTACTGTTGTAGCAGATGCCTGGATGGCATTGTTTAATGACCCAAATGGTTTCATCAGCAGACTTACGAGAGAGAGAGAGAATGGCAATAGTCTGCACTTAACTTAGTAGCAAAAGTAGTCCACCAGCATCACTACTTAGATCCATCCCATCTCAGTATATACTTTCCAAAGCCAGTAATAACAGTTGCAGTAATTTTAAAACAACAGCTAAGGATCACTCATGAGAAAGCCCAGGGTTTTCCCATGTTGGACTAATTTGAACATCAGTCCCAGTGTATCTTCTATCTTTCCCAAGACATTCAGTCCTTTTGGACTCTTGCTGAAAAAACAGTATAACAAAGACATTAAATGTATGGCTTTTTAGTGTCTTTTGAAGATTCTGCAGCTCGTACTAGTGCAAGTTGGTATAGATAGCCTTTGCACTGTGTATAGTAGAGATTAGGATTACACTTTTCTCTGAGCAAAGTTTGTATTCCAGTGTCTTCCAGAGAAGTTTGTAGCTCCATCAAATGCACAAGCAGCCATCTGTTTGGGGTTCAACTTACAAGCATTTAACTTTTCTAAGATGTGGGTTGTCACAGATGCAGCCCATGTGTCTTCTATAACCTGAACATCTAGAAATGCATCTATTGGCCAGTCTACCACTGACATGAAGATAACCACAATGACTTAATACTTGATGTCCATTTGCATTGGTGCATTCATCAGCCATGTATGCGCATTTTTTTTAATGTGGTGAGAGAGTTATTCGCTTTTTCAACGGCTGAGTCTTTCACTGTTGCACTGCATGTTTCTAACCAGTCAGTTGAGTTTCTTGCAGAAAGATAGTGAGCATTTGCTGGTCTTGTTCGGAACCAGTGTCCAACTTCAGGATTAACAAGTGATAATGGATTTAACATTGGCCTACAGTTTGTAGTGTGTGGTATCTCTTGCTTAAATATAAAGTATGATGTGACAGCCATGTTTGTTTGCATAAACGGTGTTTATGTCTCCAGCATTCTCAACAGCCTCATTAAGTACTTCTAAAATTGGATTTTACAGTGACTGGCTTCTACGGTTTTCTGCATGTTGCTGCAGTCTAGAGGCTTGGTGTTTTGCAGCTTTTTCATGTAAGTTGTCAGTATTGGCTTTGCTGATTGGTCTGGCAAACCAAGCTCCTCCAATCAATAAAGAAGTGTTATTTATTCCTTCACATAACACAAGAACTACGGGTCACCCAATTAAATTAATAGGCAGCATGTTTAAAACAAACATAAGGAAGTACTTCTTCACACAACGCACAGTCAACCTTTGGAATTTTTTGGGATATTGTGAAGGCCAAAACTATAACAGGGTTAAAAACAGAACTAGGTAAGTTCAAGGAGGATAGGTCCATCAATGGCTATTAGCCAGGATGGGCAGGGATGCAACACCATGCTCTGAATGCCCCTACACTCTGTTCACCAGAAGCTGGGAGTGGATGACAGGAGATGGATCACTTGATGATTGCCTGTTCTGTTCATTCACTTTGAAGCACCTGGCATTGGCCACACTCGGAAGACAGGATACTGGGCTAGAAGGACTATTGGTCTGACCGTTTTGCCATGTTCTTATGTAAAAATTAATTATAATATAATAAAAATGTTTAATACATAAACTCCCCAAGATAATGACCTCTCAAGATAGTGATGATGTGAGATAACAACCTTGGCAATTAATGCATTTTAAAAATCTTGGCCTACTCGGAAATGCATATTTCTATAAGTTTCCCAGTCACAAATCTAGCATTCTGGAGCAAAGTCACTAAAATATAACCCAACAAACAAATGTTCCTTTAACGTGTCCCTCCCTTCTCCCTCCACCACCCCCATTCATAGTTGTTGTCCTTTTGGTCAATGAAGAACCAGAGTTCAGAGGTGCATTCATGTGAGTTCACCTCCCACTCTGGGGGGGTGGGAGGGGAGAAGGCACCTTGCTCTTTCTTTCTGCCACTCTCCCCCGGCCACTCACCCTGGCGGCTGTTGTTCGTCGTGTCACCGTTCATTCCACAGCTCCAGTGATGGCCCTGCGCAGTCACTTGTCACTGTGACCTCTGCAATTCGGTTTCTTGAGGTTCCACCAAGCTCTCAGTGGGGGAACCTCACAGCGAGTGCAGGCTGGGTAGTCTCTTCCACAGAAATACTGTCCCACAGCAAGTCTAAGCACTTAGACCTGATTATCAGTGATTTCAGCTGTAGTGGACACTTAAAAAAACAAAAAGGGGTGAAAATGGGATGAAAAGAGAAAATGTGATCATTAAACCATTGGAAGGGAAACTCAGAGCAGATATAGCATCAGAAATTACCTGTAACTTTCTTTTAAAACTGACTTTCAAGTTAACTTTGAGGTTTCGCATTAGCTCAGTGTCTGCCAGACAGCTGTTTTTCTCTCTGTTTATGGATACATATGCTGATACCCTTTGCTTCTGATGTGGGTGGAGCCCTTTGTATTGCTATATTTGGTCTTTCAGAAAAGGGGAGGGGCTGCTATGTACCATCCTGAAGGGCAAGACTTTTCAGGGTATGCTCTCCTTGTGAAAGTTTGTCATGTTTTCAGTTTTCTTGCCGCAGGTTGTGAACAGGCAATATTGAGATTTTTGTGCAGTAGAGAACATTGTTGTGCTTAGATCTGGGTCAAGCCTATTAACTTCCAGTGGACTCTGGAATGCTGAAGGTAAGTTTGTCTCTTTTCTTTCTTAGACTTTCCCTTCAATCCTTTAACTCTGTGCCGGCTCTGTTATAAAAATGTTACTGCTGATATGTACTTTGTTAGTATCAGGGTTCATCACAGGGGAAAAAAGTGGTTTTCAAGTTGTTACATGACAGTAGATCAGCCCGGTTAAGCACTTGCCCTCCTCTCACCCAAACACCCTCAGTCTTGGAAAGGGAAAAGCGAAACTGGGATGGTCACCATGACATGGCATTTTACAGCAGTTGTCTCTCCAAACAGGACAGGGATGCTTTGAATGCATAGATTATTTTGAAAGTTGTGTGCTTGGGAACTTGTAAGAAAGGGAAGTTGTAAAGGAAATGGAAGCAAGTCCCCAGAGATGTGATAGGAAAGAGCAAAAAAAATCCCTGGAAGGATAGTCTGGCCTGTCACAGGCACTAGGTCCCATTTGTAGTTCCCTCTTTCCCTTCTAGTTCCAGGGGCAAGGAGGGACAGCTCAGTGGTTTGAGCATTGTCCTGCTAAACCCAGGGTTGTGAGTTTTAATCCTGGACGGGGCCATTTAGGGATCTGAGGCAAAAATCTGTCTGGGGATTAGTCCTGCTTTGAGCAGGGGGTTGGACTAGATATCTCCTGAGGTCAGGTAGGGACCCTGATAGTCTATGATCCTTCTAGCCCCTTATCAAATGCCAAAATAGCCCCATATTGGGTCTGAAAATCCACCATGCTACGGGGACCCAGTCAGTGTAGACGAGACAATTGTATTTTGTGTTACTGTGTTCACCAATCATGCCAAGTCCAGACTAGCTCGGTAATCTGCCCAGCACTTCGCAGCAAAGCCGATGTCTAATGTAAGCGGATGGCAGCCCGCCTGCTCTGAGAGCTGGGTGTGAGCCTCGAACGCATGTGTTTTCCAACCGCGTTGTACCGCAGGTCTTGCGGAGTCCTGCCCAGGCTGCAAAGCGCGGTCCCGTCGCCCCTGCCTGTGTCTGGGGAGCGAGCGGTCCAGGGCCGATTTCCGCCTCCTCCGGCGCAAGCAGGGACTTGACTAAACTAAATAACAACCCAACAGCCGAGTCCCGCCCCTGTCTGAGCCCGGCCCCACTCCGCTCGGTGCGCAACCCGCTCCCCCTTTCCCTGCCCGGGGGGGGGGATTGCGCGACGGGCAGAGGGCGCGGTAAAGACCGCGGGACAAGCAGGGAAGCGGGGCCGCTCCCGATCTTTCTGCTCCGGGTCGGGGGGGGTCACCACACCCACCCGCGCATGCGCACGCTGGCCCGAAGCAGGCGGGGGACGGGGTGGGCGCAACTGTCGGGGGCGGGGCCGGCTGGTCCCGTGTCTGTGGTGGGCGGGGGAGAGACCGCGGCCCCTCATGCCCCCCCTCTCAGGGAAATCCGGGGGGCTGGAGGCTGGCACTGCTCCGACAGGGATGTGCGCCGGGGAGTGGTGAGCCAGGGGGCCCTGCCTCCCGCACCCCCCCAGCCTGCATAAACCTCCTTCCTCCCACTGGCACCCCGCCCCCATCCCCCCGGCCCCCATCTCCTGCCCCATCCTCCCGGCATCCCCTCGGCCCCCACCTCCTGCACCACCCCGCCTCCCAGCCTGCACAAACCTCCTTCCTCCTTCCTCCCACTGGCATTTTAAAATGTCATTAATGTTTACAATTTTTAGATTAAACCATTTAAAAACTAATCAGATTTTTCTACCAATTTAAGTTTTTTATATTTAGCAACTGTTCATTTCGGCTTAACCCAATTCAGCAACAGTGCCAGGTGTGAGAGCGCTGGCTGGAATGGTGGAGGAGATAGAACAGCTAAGCCGCAGAACACCGAGAGGCTGGGCTCCGTAACTGATGGTGTCAGGAATCAAGCAGCGAAGATTTGGAATTGGGAAAGCAGCCATGTGTGTTCTAGTGTGAATGTGTGCTGAGTTTGTATCGTGTGGTTCTATTGGGATTTGACTGACTGGTAGAGATCTATAAAAAGGGAAATAAAAACAACCCAGGAAACTACAGACCAGTTAGTTTAACTTCTGTGCCAGGGAAGATAA